CTGTTGTGGTGTGGGGGTGTGGTGGTGGCTGTGTGGGTTTATTGGTGTTTTTGTGTTTGGGGGGGGGGGGGGGGCTGCCCTTACTGATGGACGACCGTTTTCTCTGATCGATCGATCATCCCACAAGAAACCGACCCCCGCCCGATCTCCCCCCTCATCCCCGTCACCATGACAACGGACCGCCCTCTGATTGATGACGCCAAGCAGAGCCTCCTCTGGGCGTCCGGCCCCTCCCCTCCCATTTATCTCTCCTCTTCCTCCTCCATTCTTTCTCTTCCCCTTCAGCATCGTTTCTGTTTTGTTTCTAAGTTTTACTGCAGCTGCTCTGTCACTTCCTCCATTGGCCATGTAATGTTTAACGCTGCTGTCTGTCGCAGACATCAGCACTGAAGAGTGTTGATGCAAAACAATCCTCCACATTTATTGGGGTGAAAACCTGCAGAAATCCTTTATTATTGTCAGAATTATAATTTGTACAAATCTGCTCCCACCAACACTTCGTGCTGAATTAGATTTAATTTCTCAGTGTTGAAGCCCATAGACAGAAGCTGTTACAAGTAAATAACATTCTGCTAATGTTGATAAAATCAGTTTCACAATTGCGGTGTTTTTTAATATAATATTGTAAAACAATCTAAGAAGCAAAAAGGTAAAAACAATTTGCAGCCATGAGAATCAATAAAATCCCTCCAGGATAATAAAAACATAAAAGCTTCGAGGGTCTTAAAGTTGAAATGGTTTCGGTCCCTTGAGTGTTTAGAAGAACTGGGAGAGCCTGGGAGAAGATGAACACATGAATTATAACAGGATGAATCAGAACAACCAGGAACAACCGGAGAGCATCCAGAGTTTTCCTTATCTGGGTTTCCTCAGCAGCAGCAGCATCGTGTCGGTCCAATCGGCTGCAGAAACGCTGCGATCAGCTGCATTTCGCTGGGAGACGCACAGAAAAACGGAGAATCCAACAAAATGTCGCCTCTGTTTCATCTGCTGCGTTTTCTGGATCCTCTCATGGTTTTGCACTGATTTAAATACAAAACAAAAGGGATTCATGTCTTATGGCACCGCAAGAACACAGAATATTGACAAGTATTTTAGTCTGGGTTAGTGAAAATGTCTTATTACATTTAATTAAGACAAAACTAATTTACAAGTAAGTTTTCAGCTAGATTTTATGTCAATAATTCCTTAATATTGATTTTTTTAAGTACTAGTTCCACCAACAGATTATTTCACTTATAACAAAACATTTTCACAACTTATAAGAGAAATAATCTGACAGTGGAATTACTGTTTTTATCAATATTAAGGAAGCTCTCGTGAATAAACTTTATTCAAGTTTACTGAGATATTTGTACTAGAAAAAAACTTGTCAAATATTTGATTTTGTGTTTTGTGGTGTTTTTATAAAGCCGTATTATTGCCATTGTCATCCCTAAAACCACATTACATTAGGAAGAGCAAATTTACACCAAAAACCAGACATTTCCTAAAAGAAAAACAAGGAAATTCAAAAATTAGATAGAAGAAATCTGACATTTTTAGCTAATCTAGGACAAAACGAAAAAAGTAAAAAAGAAATCAAAATTCTGAAATGTCAAAATATTGCTGGAAAATATCCAAAATGTTCAGATTAATCTAAATTTTTTATTTTATTTTTTATCTTGAAAAATTTTGGACATTTCTTGGTTTGAAAAGTCAAAAACTTGCCTAAAAACTGGAATCTTTTGTTTGGGCTCATAAACTTTCTTGAAAACACAGAAACACTTCTGATTTTGAAAAGTAAAAAAACTGCAGAAAATATCAGAAATCTTGATCTTAATCTCAGAAATCTTCTAGAAAAACAAATAAATTTTAGAGTTTTGAGTTTGAAAATTTTGCTTAAAAAATCTGAAGTGTTCAGATTCATTTCAGAAACTGTTGAAACATCTTGGAATTTTTTTAGTTTAAAAATTTGCTTGAAAAAATCAGGAATGTTGAGTTTAATCTCAGAATTATTCTAGAAAAAATGAAAATTTCTAAACTCAATAAGTGAAAAGATTACAACTTTCCAAACTCTGAATTTTCTCATTTCTGAGTTAGAAAAGTGAATTTCCGTCATTTCTCTAGAAAATCCATGTCTGTTTTTGGAAATCTCCTCTAAGTTCCTCTTGACGAACGTTTTTGTCTGAAATCTGTTCTTGTTTTTCCAGGTGAGCTCGTTGCGCCGCTCTTAGATCCCATCTTCCTCTTCCTCCTCTTCCTCTCGCGGCTCCGCCATGTTTCCCTTCGCCTGCCCTTCCTCCTTCCTCCTCCTCTTCCTCGCTGTCCTGCTCCCTGCCTGCCAGCCGGAGTCGCAGCGCGTCGACCCGAGCATCGAGCCCGACCTGCGGACGGCGCTGCCCTCGTCGGCCGCCGCCTCGCCGGCACCGTCGCTGCCGTACGGGAACAGCTCCATCTCTGCCGGCCCGGATAAGTGCAACAAGCCGACGGTTTGCACCGAGGGCATCCTGCTGCCGGTGTGGAAGCCCAAGCAGCCGAGCCTCGGGTACCAGGTGGCCCGCGCCGTCGTCTACTTCGTCTTCCTGATGTACATGTTCCTGGGAGTGTCCATCATCGCTGACCGCTTCATGGCGTCCATCGAGGTCATCACCTCTCAGGTGAGCAGAACCGGGAGGGAAACAGAACCAGGAGCTTTAAACCAGCTCAGGTCGTTCAAATTTAACTTTGTGCAGAAAGTTTTGTTCTGAATCTAACCTTTATCGACAACTTTTCAGGCTGCTGAAGGTTTTTGTTTGGATTTCTGATGAGCTTTAAGTAATTTCACTTCAGAAATCGAAGGAGGTTGAGACAGCGTTCACACAGATTGTTTAGATCTGTTGGTCCCCATGTGACCCAGTGTTTTTTTGGCCAGTGTACATATAAAAAAACAAGCTCAGAAACTTTAGATCCGTTTTAGACAGTCTAGAAAAAACAAGACAATTTCTGAATTTTAAAAATCGAAACTTTGCTAGAAACAAACCCTCAAAACTCAGAAATTCCTGGAAAACAACTTGGAAATTTCTGAGCTTCAAAAGTAAAGTACAAAAAAAAAATCAACGATATAGTTGTAAATAATTTGTTTATGTTTGTAAAGTGCGTCCTCTATATGCTGAAGTTTGGGACAGATTTCCAAAGAAACCTGAAATTAATCTAAAATCCTCAGGCAGTCGTCCTGCTGGTCCTGATACGGAAAATAAAAGCTGAAACTGAAATGTGGCCGATGTGATGAAGGTGTTAGTGGAGCTTTAAGAGCTGCTTAAGTAAAAACCTTCAGATCTGCAGGTTTCTGCATCTATTTTTAAATTTAAAATTATGTCACACCTTCAGATAATCCAGCCTCTAATTTTTCATCTGTTCTGGATTACCAGGTTCTGATTCTGGACATGCAGAACAGCAGATGAGTGTTCCTTCATTATGAGAGCTGGATGTCAGAAAATGGGGATATTTTACAGTAAAATGTTCTTTTCTATGTTTTAACGCTCAGTTTGGGGCCAGGCCTGCTGGACTCTGTGAATCTGTTGCAGCGTCTCGCCCAGTTCAGCCCGTCTGAGCTCATAGATACGGAGGAACAAATTGAAGTGGGATTGGCCGTCATGGAAATGTGAGATAAGTTGGAGGCAGAGAGGAAGAGACGGTACCAGAACGGGCGTCTGAGAGTTGAATGAGGACGGCTGATTGTCCATCAGACTCTGGGTCAGAGTAAATTAAAGTCCGGTCATATTTCCAGCCGCCTCAGATGGGAATCGGCTCGTCTCTTTGGTTCACGTGTTGTTGTTCCTGCCGACATCACAGGGATTTATGAAGGTCATTAGATGCAAATGATGATAAATAAACCAGAAACTGAGGAATTCAAATGACAGCAGGAGTCATTTTATAGACTTTTGTCAGATAAGTTCTAGTAAATGTTTATAATTTCTGACTTTAATTAAGGTGATTAAAGATGATGATAATTAATTAGCACCGATTGAAAGCCCGACTCATTCTTCTGAAACTTTAACAGTGTCTCTGGTGGATTTTTGGTTAGAACATGTTTGTTTTTCATTCAGTGGAAGAAAATCCAGAACTTTACAGTTGCGCTCTGCTCCTCAGGTGTGTTCAGGTGACCAGTGTGTGTGCTTTGCAGGAGAAGGAGGTGACCATCACCATGCCGAACGGCGAAACGTCTGTGGCGACAGTTCGCATCTGGAACGAAACCGTCTCCAACCTGACGCTCATGGCTCTGGGCTCCAGCGCTCCGGAGATCCTGCTGTCGGTGATCGAGGTAAACGCCGTCACGCCTCAGCGTCGCGTGTCCATCCCGGCTCGGCTCTCACAGCCTCCGCTCCTTTGCAGGTGTGCGGTCACAACTTCGAGGCCGGCCAGCTGGGACCGGGGACCATCGTCGGCAGCGCCGCCTTCAACATGTTCGTGATCATCGGGATCTGCGTGTGGGTCATCCCCAACGGCCAGTCACGCAAAATCAAACACCTGCGGGTGTTCTTCATCACCGCCTTCTGGAGCATCTTCGCCTACATCTGGCTCTACCTCATCCTGGCCGTCATGTCGCCGAGCGTCGTGGAGGTGAGGCCGCCTGTCTCGCCAAGCTGTGGCGCTAATCCCTCCATCAGCAGGATTAGCCTCAGCCCCCAAAACCAGAAAGCACTGTCACGATTGGTAAAACTCCAAAAATACAAAATCTCACCAAGTACTTCTGACTACTCTTTAATACAAATATCTCAGTAGACTTGAAGTAAGTCAAAACTAATTGATAAGTAACTTTTCAGCAACATATAAGAGCTTCTTCTAAGTCAATAATTTCTTAATTTTGGTGAAAAAGTTCTTGTCCCACTGGCAGATGAATCCACTTTTATCAAGACATTTTCCCCTATTATTGCAAACCTCTGGTCACCATTGAATACAGCTCACACAGTCTTAAAACGGCAGGGTCATGTAAGACATCATGTTGTAATGTTATTTCCTCATCAAAAACAAACCTGGAGCGTTGAATCTTTCATGCATGTTTGATTAATCCTTTAATCTCCATGGCAACCAATCAGATGGACCTAGCCCCGCCTTCGAGGCGCAGCTCCTCCCCATTCAGCTCCTTCAGACTAGCCAGCACCAATTAGCAAACACCTAAGGAGCTACTTCTAAGTGAAACTCTGGTAAAAACAAAGGGTTAATAGAGGAGCCATGTTGGATGACTTCCTGGAGGCGGAGCTTCAGAAAGAGCAGGAGCTTCTTAAAGAGACAGAGACCAAATTTCAAGGCATTAAATCACAAATATAAATTTCTTTTAAGTCATATTTAACAGATGTAGGACATTATTTCTTGATTGTGCTGTAAAATGGAACTTTGTGCCTGGAAAACATATAATAATGCCAGTTTAATCAGGCCTTCAGGTTTTGTTCTGCACCAAAGCTCTGTGAAACAGAACCCGGCTCCTTCCTTAGTGCTGGACATTCCCAGCCTATTTATCCTTTCTGGTTCTCCCACCGGTCCCTCCATGACCCTGCAGGGGTCACCAGGTCAATGGGTTCATGGATCTTTGTCCCTAAATCTCTGGCCGTTGTGTTTCAGGTCTGGGAAGCTCTGGTGACGCTGCTCTTCTTCCCCATCTGTGTCCTCCTGGCTTGGATCGCCGATCGCCGTCTGCTCTTCTACAAATACATGGGCAAGCGTTACCGTGCCGACAAGCGCCACGGCATCGTCGTGGAAACCGAGGGGGACCTGACCCCCACCAAAGGCGGCATGGAGATGATCATTGACGGCAAGCTGCCACAGGGAAGCGCAGTGGTTCCTGCTGAGAACGGAGCGGATGGAGCAGCGGGCGCCACGGCAAACAACATCGGCGCCGCGGCAGTCGCCAGGGGCAACCTGCCCAACTCCAACAGCGCCACGGTGAACATGGAGAGCGGCAGGGAGCTGGACGAGAGCCGCAAGGAGGTGAGACACAGAAAAACGAGCTAAACTGAGGAGAAGGAAGGAAGTTTAAATCAAAGGGTTCATTCAGTCCGTTTTAGTCCAACTCAAGCTAACTCTGCTCCGCCTACAAACCTCGGGCCGGGTTTGGTTAAAATGAACTCTGGTGCAGTTTAAATGCGAACGTCAAGTGGATCGGAGGCCGCTCCAAAAGCAGGAAGTGGATTACAGCACAGGGCATTGTGGGTAAATACAACCAAAACACGCACTTTAGCCTAGCGTTAGCGGCAGACATGACTCTTAGACTTTTGCCAACAACAAAGAGAAATCCTCCAGTTGCTAAAATCTGACGCCTCCATCTTGTTTTCATCTGGTGAAGAAGGAAGTTGCTCTCAGTGTCTTCAGGGGTTTTTGTGTCGTTTCCTTCAGTGGTTCTTGGTGCAGCGCCCCCACAGGCCAGGAGGGGAACAGGTTGGTTTGACTCAGAGCAGTGAGAGAGAGGAATGACCTGACAGTCCGGACAGTCCGGAAGTTCTGGTTCTACTGGAACCAGAACTTCTCCAGCTGCTGTGGTTCTCTCTCTCTCTGCTCTGAGTCAAACCAACCTGTTCCCCTCCTGGCCTGTGGGGGCGCTGCACCAAGAACCACTGAAGGAAATGACATAAAAACCTCTGAAAACACTGAGAGCAACTTCCTTCTTCACCAGATGGAAACAAGATGGAGGCGTCAGATTTTAGCGGTTGGAGGATTTCTCTTTAGTCTTTGGCTAAAGACCAGGAGCCATTTCTGCTGCTAGCGCTTGTTTGCATGTTAGCGTTGGTTGTATTTACCCAGAATGCCCTGTGCTGTAGTCCACTTCCTGCTTCTGGAGCGGTGTCTGGTCCTCCTGACGTTCATATATGCATCTAAATGGAACTGGAGTTCACTTCAACTGAAGCGACACCAGAGTTAGCTTAGCATTCACACCTCACCAACCGAACCAAACTTTTTAAACAAACTGACTGGAGTTGGATTAAACTGGATTGAACTGGGCTGGAGTGAACGAGCCCTGAGAAATGCTCCATTGGAACCGAGCGAACCAGGAAGTGACAGGAACCAGAACCCTGAACCCGGTTTGTCTTCGGCAGGTGATTCGCATCCTGAAGGAGCTAAAGCAGAAATATCCCGACAAAGAGCTGGACCAGCTGGTGGAGCTGGCCAATTACTACGCGCTGCTGCACCAGCAGAAGAGCCGTGCCTTCTACCGCATACAGGTAAGCTCCGCCCACCTGCCTCACCGCAAACCGCACCCTGAACCGCAAAGTGCCGCCCTAAACGCCGGGTTTGTTCGCCCCGTCTCCGTCAGGCGACCCGGATGATGATCGGAGCCGGAAACGTCCTGAAGAGGCACGTGGCCGACAACGCGCGGCGCGCGGTGGTGGCCGACGAAGAGGAGGCCGAGGAAGACGACCTGGCCGTCTGCAGCCACATCTCCTTCGAGACGGCCCACAGTCAGTGCATGGAGAACTGCGGCGTTCTCACGCTGGCCGTGGTCTGCCAAGGTAGGAACGGCACCGGGAAGATAAAACCTTCACTTCCTCAACAGTTCAGGGTTAATTATGACAGGTAAGAGGAATAAATCTCCTCTGTTTACAAGAATAGAATAAAATATCCTTCATTATCCCTTCAGGTGGAAAATTGACATTTCAGTCCAGCCTAAACAAAGACAAAACAAAAAGACAACATTAGACATGAATAGACGATGCCTGAGGTCAGCCATCTTGGGAGGCGCTGGCGTTTCATTGGATGGGAGAAAATAATAACATGAGGAATAAAGTCACGATAATATGAGAATAAAGATAAAATATTACCAGAGGAGAGTTAGAGCTTTAGGAGAAACGCTGTGTGATAAAAAGTTTCAAAGTTCGGCCACTGATGAGTTAAAAGATTAAATATTTCATCATTTGTGAATTTTAATTCTACAAGATTCTCAATATTCCTTATTTTAAATTTTAATACTTTTTTGTATAGGAGTTCTCATAAAATTATAACTTCATTCTCGTAATATTACGACTTTAATATCGCATTATTTTGACTTTATTCTGCTCATTTGACTACTTTATTCTCATATTACTATTATGACTTTATGTTTTATTATTTTTAATTTTATGATCATACAATTTCTTTATTGTCATGTTGCGAGTTTATTCTGGTGATATCAGTTTTATTCTCAAAAATAAAAGTAAAAATCTTTTCATCTGGCCCTAAAACTGTCAGTTTGATGAGAACTTTTGGTTTTTAATAAAATATGACTTTATATGCAGAACCTTTAGATTTCTTTATCTTGCTGCAGAATCTGATTTATGCACCGTTCCTTCAGATTTAAAATGTTGTGACTTGTTAGCTTTGTGTGTCCTCAGGTTTGCAGTGACTTCAGAGAGACTTTAGAAACGACCTGAAACCTGCAGATTCACCCAGAAACAGAATAAACCGCCTGATGTGTCGATTTTTATCTGATTTTATGTTTTGGGTTATCATCAGTGGAGGAACGTTTAATGTCACATTTCTCGTCTAGTGACCCCACAGCATGATGCTTCCTCCGCCGTGTTTGTTTTCCCGGTTTTCTGACTGTTGCTGTGTTTTCGGCCTGCAGGCGGTTTGGGGGAGAACACTTTCTACGTGGATTACAGAACCGAAGACGGGTCAGCCAACGCCGGGTCCGACTACGACTACAGCGAGGGAACGCTGGTGTTCAAACCCGGAGACACTCGGAAAGAGATCAAGGCGAGTCGCAGCGCGAATAAAACATAAAAAGGTTCTACGGCCGTCTTTCAGAGGAAAAATAAGGGCTCATTTCTGCCAAAATCCTCCGAAATTTGGATTTATTTCAGAAATGTTCTATAAAAAACAAAGATATTTCTGAATGTCAAACATTTACTAGAAAAAAAATCATAAATGTTTGAGATTAAACTCAAACATTTTAGAAAAAACAAGAAAATATCTGAGTTCAAATGTTAATCATGTTAGAAAAAAATCTGAATTTTGTGATGAATCACACAAAATTTCTAGAACTGGTTTCTTTTTTTTTCATTTCTGAGTTCAAATGTCAAACATTTGCTGAAAACAGATCAGAATTTTTTCTGGTTAATCTCTAGGAAAAAACTTTTACATTTCTGAGTTTGAAAAGTTGATTCTGCTATAAAATGATAATCCCACAAATTCTCTAGAAAAGACAAGGAAACATGAGTTTGAAAAACCAAAAATTTTCTAGAAAAAAAAAATAATTTTGAGATTCATCTCACAACACTTCTAGGAATTTTTTTTTTTACATTTTTGAGTTTGAAAAGTTGAAAAATTACAAGAAAAACTCAAACATTTTGAGGATAATCCCACAAAATGTATTGAAAAGACAAGAAAATTTTAGTTTCAAAAGTTGATCATTTTCCAATTTTGAAACTTAGAAAATTTCTAAGTTTCTAAGAAATTTCAAAGTTAGAAACTTCCCAGTTCTTTTCTGGACGTTTTCTAAGATTAATCTCAAAATTTGAGTTTTTCTTGCAAATTTTTGACATTTAAACTCAGAAATGTCCTCTCTTTTTTTCTAGACAATTTCTGATGCTTTGGGCAGAAATGTATTAGTTTTCTAACAACACGCTGCAGTAAGATCTGACTCTTTGGGTGGCTCATTCTGGTTTGGCTCCATAGCAGCAGATATGAATCACAAGTAGATGCATTTAATCATCATCTTCTCATTTTGACAAATACAAGGGTTTGTGTTTGTCTTATGCTAAAACAATCAAATTAACCCAGTTAAAGTTTGAAATACATAATTCATTTTTTCAATACGTTAATCTAAATTTAGAGCATTGCGGTGAAAGTTTGGATATTCAAACATTCAAAAAAGTTCAGAATAATTTAAAAACTTGAAGGATTAAAACAGCAAACTAAGAGTTATTTTCTATCAAAATAAAACAAAATTAGCTCATTTATGGCGCTGAAAAGTTTAATTGGATTAATTATTGATATAATAATTGATTAATTGTTAACTGGAGTATACAGACTCAAAAACATATTCAGAGCAATAATTAAGCCAAAACTGTAAAAAATAAATAAATTTCACATCAGTTCAAAAGTCCAATAGATTCAAAACATGAAAACAAAGAATATCATCTCTAAGTTCAGTATGTTTTAATTAATTTAACAAACTATAATTAGCTCCAGTTAGTTACAGTTTCTCCACATTAATTACCGTTATTTATTTATTTCAATTAATGAAAAATGTTTTCTCCATTTCAGTTTTTGTTAGTTTTATTTATAACTTTGTTTTGCGTCTCGTTTTGCTGCTGAACCTCTCAGCCACTTTTACACATGAGAAGCTGAAGTGTTGCTGCAGCAGCAGGTTGCATGTGGAATAAACTCAAACCGAGGCTCTGCAGCGGTGCAGGATGTGGCTTTACATCATGGAGGCGCGCAGACAGAAAATCCTGCAGGCTGGATGCAAAATCCAAGATGATCAAAGCGAGAGGAAAGAGGGGCTGATTGATGATGCGAGTCACAGCGGGCGAGGCGAGGAGCCGCAGCAGGAGCAGAGAGCAACACAACGCACACACCAACATCTCGGTTCTTATCCAACATTACTTTAAAGCTAAAGTTACACAACATTATCACGTTTTCTACTTTTCAAACTTCTGAGGTTTTCTAAAAAAAATTCAAAATTTCTTTTTGTTCTAGCAAATTTTTAGCTCAGAAATTTGCATGTTTTTTTCTGAGATTGATGTCAAAATTTCAGAGTTTTTCCAACAAATCTTTGACGACTCAATCTTATGAATTCCCTTGTTTTTTCAAGAAAATTTCTGACAATCATCTCAATTTTTTGTTTTTTTTTCTAGCAAATTTTCAACATCTAAGCAAAAATTTTGAGGTTTATCACATAATTTTTCTAGAAAGTTTTGGAGTTTCAGAAGTGAAATATCCCCAACTTTCCAAACAAAGAAATTTCCAAGTTTTTTCTAGAACATTTCTGAGATTACGATCAAAATTTTGATTTTTGTTATAGCAAATTTTCAACTTTTCTATCCATTTTTATTGATTAATCAATCTCTGAAATTTCCACATTTTTCCTAGAAAATTTCTGAAATGAAAGTTTAAAAATTTTTTAGCAAATTTTTGTCTTCAAATTTCCAAGTTTTTTCTAGATAATTTCTGTAATTAATCTCAATATTCCAGAAGCTTCATCTACTCAACTTTCTCAGAGAAAGTTTGTCAGCTTGTTGAGGGTTTGGTGAAAAATCCAGGTAAATTTAACCAACAAATATTTGAGTCAGAATTTGAGTCAAATTTTCTTAAATCAACCTGTCGTGAGACTTTGTTGACTGGGAAATGAAAGTTTTCAGTTAGGAGTTAAATAATCCTGCCTCTGTGCGTCTGCAGGTCGGCATCATCGACGACGACATTTTCGAGGAAGACGAGCACTTCTTCGTCCGCCTGCTCAACCTGAGAGTCGGCGACGCCGAGGGGATGTTCGAAAGCGACGAGGCGGGCAGCTTGCCCAAAGCCCGGCTGGTCGAGCCCCTGGTCGCCACGGTGACCATCCTGGACGACGACCACGCCGGCATCTTCACGTTCAGCGAGCGCCTGGTGCGCGTGAGCGAGAGCGTGGGCATCATGGAGGTGACGGTGGTGCGAAACTCGGGCGCCAGAGGCACCGTGGTTCTGCCGTACCACACCGAGTCGGGCAGCGCCATGGCGGGGGAGGACTACGAGGAGGTGCGCGGGGAGCTGGAGTTCACCAACGACCAAACCACGTGAGGCACAGCAGCTGTTACCACGGAAACGCTCACAGAGCTACGGCGAGGGCAACTGAACAGGAAACATATTTTAGCAGAATTATTAGATCAAAGTCAGAATTATGAGAAAAAAGGCAAAATGATGAGAAAATGTCAGAATTCTGAGGAAAAAGTGCAACGTCCTTCTTCACGAAATGTAAACAAAACCGCAGCAGCATGAAATTTTAGCGTTTGGAGGATTTCTCTTTAGTCTTTGGCTAAAACCTGCGAGCCATTTCTCCTTGTTAGGCTAGTTCGTTTGTTCTGGTTGTATTTACCCAGAATGCCCTGCGCTGTAGTCCACTTCCTGTTTCTAGTCTCTGGTCCGTTTGATGATTATATGCATTCAGACTGAACCAGAGTCCACTTCAACCAAACCCAGACCAAAGTTTGTAGGCGGACCAGAGTTTGATTAGCATTCACACCAAACCAAACAAACCGGACTTTGACTAGGCAAACGGACTGGAGTTGGATTAAAGCAAACTGAACAATTAAAATAACAACAAATATTTGTCATCTATCCACTTTAAGCTTAACTTTTCTGCGTTTTTAACCCGGTCAGTCATTGTTTTAATCAATTCCTGTCTTCTTCTGTCTCCGGTCCCATGTTTCTATCCTCTGTGGCTCCAGACAGCCTCTCATCCTTAATTCATCAGCGCTGACTGGAGGGAAGTCCCCGCACCGTTAGCATGAATACTAACAGAGATTAGCGTGACTTTATGTAGCACTGTGGCTGCAGATTGATGACACAGCAGATCCTGCAGCATTTTACTCACCGTGCAAATAAAAAACCCGGTGAATTCCTCCTGAATGAATCCAATTACGGTACATCTTGGGTTTTTCTTTATTTTTTGAAGTGAGATCATGGCAGTGCAGTAAAATACAAATTCATTTCAAGGCTATAAATGTTCCGTGTGCATAACTCTGTGGAAGCGAGGAGACGGCCAGGCTTAAAATTTAAAAACTCCCATTTCGGTGGACTGGTTGAACTCTGCAGTTTGCTTTCAGAACATTAAAGCTGTATGTTTTGGGAAGAGGATCCAGAAGTTTTACTCAAGTAAAAGTAAAAATACTCCTAAAATTAATTTATTTCCAAAAAGCTACTCATGTAAATGTAATAGAGTAAATGTAACTAGTTACTACCCGGCTCTGGTTATTGACTGTGTCTTTACATTCGGCTCAGACGGGCAGCTGGCAGCCATAAGAGAAACAGGAAACGGAAACCAGTTCGTGTTTCGCTCCTGCAGCGCTCGCCCCCTGCTGGTGGAAGGTGTTCACTGCCTGGTGGCGCTCTGTGTTTGTGCTCCCTGCAGTCAGACCCTCCAGGTGAGGATAATCGATGATGAAGAGTATGAAAAACACGAAAACTTCTTCATCGTTCTGGAGGAGCCGCGCTGGCTGAAGAGAGGAATCTCAGGTGAGACAAAATTACTCAAATTCACAGAGTTACATTTAAAACATGAAAACTTAAATATGATTACAATTTAAGTTTTGTGGTTTACTTTAGAAACATTTGTAAGCAATTTTGAACATTGTAAGTACTTTTAGTCAAGTTTCTGGTCCAAATGCATTATAACACCTGAAATCAGTGTAATTTATGTCAAGCACAGTTGCACATGAAAATTACATTTAAAGGTTTGTTAAAATTACAAGTTTTAATTGTTAACTAATTAAAAACTAGTTAATCTGTTAAACGTATAGTTGTAGCTAACTAAAAAGTTAGTCAACTAACTTAAAAGTAACATTTCAGCAACTTTTTAGGAGTTTGTTTTAATAGTTCCTTAAAATTGAGTTAAAACCAACTATTATTTAAAACTAAGAATAGTGAGTTAAAACTAGTTAGTGAGTTAAAACACATAGTTGCTTAAAACTTAGTTTTAACTACCTACATGTTAGTTAAAAATTCAGTTAGTTTTAGCTAACTTAAAAGTAACTTTTCATCGAATTTGGAGCTTGTTTTAAGTAAATAATTCCTTAATATTTATGATATTTCACTTACAAAAAGACATTTTTCCATATTTTCGGTGAAATAATCAGCCAGTAGAATGACTTATTCATCAATTTAGCCTAATATAGGAAAAACATTTTATTACATATTAAAAATGGAACTAGTAGCTACTTCTTTTCATCTATATAAGTGAAATGGTCTGTCAGTGGATCTGTTAAACTGTTCATGTTTCTTATGAAGAATAACTGATGACTCTTGTGTTATTTTGTCCTCAGCTCTGCTGCTTAACCAAGGTAAGTCTGATTATTCCTCTGCTTTCAGCTGAACCTCATTAGACTGGTCAGGAAATGTGTGTTCAGCTTAATCTTCTAATTATTTTCACATTTTATTTTTACATAGAATATCAGAACGTAATGCGGATTAGATTCACTCCTCTGTCACATTCAGTCTGCAGCACAGAGACTCACATTTAATCACAGAAAACTGTCCTAAATATTCAGCCATCAGAGGAGCAGCAGCAGGTTTGTCTCCGATTAAAGGAGTCGGCGGATGAATTCAGCCTGACTCCGCTCTCTGCCTGCATGCCAAGCGGCTCCAGTCAGATCATAATTTCTGTTTTACCTGCATAACTTCAACATTTCCTTTGAAGATTTATTTATGTTCACCAACAAGCAGCATGAATACCAGCACTGCACTGAAAAACACAAAATCTTACCATGTATTTTTGTTTCGTTTCTAGTGCGAATGTCTTAGTGAACTTAAAATAAGACAAAACTAGCTTACAAATAACTTTACAGCAAAATATAACAGCATGTTTAAGTCAATAATTCCTTAATATTCATTTTAAAAAGTTCCAGTTCGACTGGCAGATTATTTCACTTAAAACACGAGAAAATTAGTTGATAAAAGTGAAATAATCTGACAGTTTAAGTCGTGCTTTTTCACTAAATTTAAGGAATTGTTTACTTTAAACAGACTCCTGTGTCTTACTGAAAATCCTCACTTTTAAGTTGGTTTTGTTTTATTTCAAGTGAACTAAAGTATTTACACAAGAAACTAAACAAAAGTATTTGGTAAGATTTTGAGATTTGTGTGTAAGCGTCTTCTGGTTCCAGATCTCCTGCATTGACAAATATCTGAATAAAAACGACACTTCCTGTCAAAATACATTCATTACAAAACTACGGCAACAGAGATGGGACATGTTTAAAACGGAGAGCAGCAGAAGTTTGATAGAGAAACGTCCTGCTGCAGTCAGGAACCTCAGAGCGCCTTGTCTCTGTTCTGTCCCCTGATTGGCTGCTTGGGCTGTTCGTCCAACATGAGCTCTGATTGGTTGGCGGAGGACCAGTACCAGACTGGGCCAGGAGCTGGCAGATGGACTGGGAGTGGGTGAGCCCAGCAGAAACAGAAACAGTTGCTGCTTCCCGCTCTGCTGCTCCTCAGATTAACTGGTTTCCTGTTTAACCCGCCTTTCCTCTGGGATTAGAGGAGAGTTTGGTTCAGATTACCAATACAGATTATCAATTTAAATTATCAATCCAGAACACAGAGAAGGAGATAATGTGGCCAATCGGTTTGGTTCTATTGGGGCGGGATTAAAATTATTAGATTATATTTATTAGACTCCACCTTTCATCATGAGTCCATCCATCCATCCATCCAACCATCCATCCATCCATCCAACCATCTTTGTTCAAATAAAAACCATTTAGTTCAGTTTAGTTTCTGAACTAAACTCTAAACTGTAATGAATTAAAAAACTTCATGACTCAATTTTTATTAAATCTAGAGATTAAAGTTTGTTTCTGTCAGATTTCATCCTCACATCCGGCTGAAACGCTCCAGAATTCAGCCCAGCGTGTGATCCGGGCTTTGAGAACAAATCTGACTTCACAGGGATTAACAAAACGCTGAAGCCTAATCTGTTATTGATCCTGGATTTAGAGGGAAGACGTGACGGCCATCTTTGAAGCTCATTGCTGCGGTTGTTTATGTGTTTTTACCCTCCTGCCCCTCCAGAGGCGGCGGAGGGGCAGCTGAGCGCCGAGGAGGAGGAGGCCCGGCGGATCGCTGAGATGGGGAAGCCCATCCTGGGGGAGCACAGCCGCCTGGAGGTCGTCATCGAGGAGTCCTACGAGTTCAAGGTGCCTGTGCTGCCCTCTACTGGCCGCCTGCTTGCACTGCAACTGCAGCCTCTACAACCCAACCTGAAGTTTCCCCCTCAGTCCAGCTAAAGAAAACTTGTCTAGAGCCACAAATGTTTGGAGAAAAGACAACCATCATTTTTATAGAAATATTTACTATTAGATGTTTGAGGTCATTTAAAAAAACTCACCATTTTATTTCTATTCTTAGTTGTTTTATAAGAAAAACAAAAAACATGTACAAAACAGGATGAATAAATTTTCTTCTGCAGGAAGTGGAAGCTAATGTTAACAAAAAAACATTTAATTTTCAACATTACAAGGAAAATAAATGGTAAATATTTTCTAGAAAATCTCAGAAATTTAGAGAAATCTTCTAGAAAAAACATGAAAATGTCCTTGTTTTTTAATTACATTTTTTAAATTGATGTCGCAGCACAGTCTGGGCTTCTCCCATTCACCTGGATTTTCAATCAGCAAACAGAAGGAGAAATTGTAAACGATGACTTTAATTTTCTGCTATTTTAGAATGGTAGTTTGTCTGTAGTTTGCCTGTAGTTTAGCGATGACAGCGGAGGAAGTGAACGAAGCTGTTCAGTCCTTGTTGGTCACACTTCTAAATATTGAATTAATATTTGCAGACGCTCGTCCCAGTTTATCGCTCTCTGGTTGTTTACAGTGAAGGAAATTCCCATCTAGCTTCATAGCGTCGAACTGATTGATTACATACGGTGAACGTAAACAGTTGGGTAAAATTTAAAACCTCAGGCCACGCCTCCAGGAAGCAATCGTTTCTCAACAGGCGGGATCCTAGACCATCTGGACGAAGCAAAGTGTCAGACTAGTTGGACTGTTTGTTGTTGTTTTACCTGAGCAACAATAAAGAACATGTAGCCTATAAAAATACATATTTTACACATGTTTGTTAAGGCATCATGTTATGCTAGCTGCAGTACAACAGAGAGGAAACAACAGGGCTAAGACCCGCCTTCTTGCTCTGATTGGTTGTTTCTAATTAGTACTGGGACGAGGCAGAGAAGTTGATTTTTACACAGCTTATTTGTCGCATAATAAACCGTCATGACATAGTGACAGTTTCAACAAATATATATATAAAAAATACTTTTTATAAAGGTTTCATACTGAAACTTTAAAGGTTTATGAATCGCTGCTTCTGATTGGCAGAGCACCGTGGATAAGCTGATCAAGAAGACCAACCTGGCGCTGGTCATCGGCACTCACTCCTGGAGGGAGCAGTTTGTGGAGGCGGTCACCGTCAGCGCAGGTGATTCAACATGGCCGCCTGCGTCCAGCTGGTCCAGTCCAGCATCAGCTGCTCAGACCAGTCTCAGTCTGTGGAGTGATGAGTCTAATAAAGATGTTATTTTTGTGCAAATATCTTAGTTCATTTGATGCAAAACTAGCTTCTAAGCAACTTTTTATCAAAATATAGGAGTTTGATTAGAGTAAATACTTCCTTGAAATTAGTGAAAAGGTACTGCTCTTAAACTGGCAGATTATTTCATTTATAGCAAGACATTTTTCATTTTATAAGTGAAATAATTTCCCAGTGGAACCAGTACTTTTCATCAACATTAATGAATTATTTACTCTAAAAAAGCTCCCATCTCTCACTGAAAAGTGACTTCTAAGTTTGTTTTGTCTTATTTCAGATTAACTAAGAAATTTGCTGTAAAAATGCACTAAAAATACTTGGTAATATGTTGGTTTATTATCACTAAGCTCATGTTGCAGATGAAGTAACGGAGCACAGATATGGAGGTTTGTTTGGTGGTTAACTTTGTTTTATTTAAGTCAACAACACTGCAAAAAATACAAAATCTTACCAAGCATTTATGTCTAGTGCAAATATCTGAGTACACTTAAACTAAGACAAAACTAACTTACAAGCAACATATACAAACTTGTTTTAAGTCAGTAATTCATGAATTTTGACAAAAAGCACTAAATCTTTTCGCTTATAACACAGTAGGATCTTCTTGTTTTCTATGTTTTTTAAGTTGGCTTAAGAAGGGCATTTTTTACTGATGACTCGGGTTTCAATTAAAGTCCGCCCTCTAGTGGCAGTACCAGCCACTGCAGGCGGTATTTGATCCAGTCTGGTTGGAGGTTTTGACCTTTTGGCCTCTGCTGCAGGTGATGGAGACGATGAGGAGGAAGGGCGAGAGGAGCGGCTCCCGTCCTGCTACGACTACGTCATGCACTTCCTCACCGTCTTCTGGAAGGTTCTGTTCGCCTGCGTCCCGCCCACAGAGTACTGGAACGGCTGGGCCTGCTTCATCGTGTCCATCAGCGTCATCGGCTTCCTCACCGCCATCATCGGCGACCTGGCGTCGCACTTCGGCTGCACCGTGGGGCTGCAGGACAGCGTGACCGCCGTGGTGTTCGTGGCTCTGGGAACCTCCATCCCAGGTGGGTCTCAAGTTTCTCTGCTTCCTCTATGTTCATTATATCTATATAATCTATATGTATATCTATGTATATCTTCATTTTGGACCAGCTGGAGTTTTCTGTCTTTGCTTCTTGTTTGTAATATCTTTGCTTAAAAATGACTTTTTTCATATTATTAGATTATTTTCAGCTCCTTCATTTTTTTGTGTGTTTGTTTTATTTTAATGGTTTTATTTTGGTATCATTGTGTGGTTGTTTGTCTTTTTGTGGCTGTTTTTCATCTCGTCTGGTCACTTGATTTTGGAGGTTAGTGCTACTTCTGCTCAACTTTTCATGTGTCCAGCGAGTTGCTGTTAGTTTCTGTACAATATACTTGTGTTTAGCAGTTTAGCTTCTGCCCATTTTTTGTGCATCTAGCGGTGTAGTATTAGCATTTATTAGCATTAATTTCTGCTTTTGATCTTCGTCTTGTGTTTAGCAGTTTACCGTTAGCATAGCTAAGATTCTAGCTTAGCCATTTAGTTGTTAGTGAAGCTAACTCTTTGGTTAGCTGTGGCCTCAACTGGACATAACTACTGCTGACTTTAGAGCAAACATGGATTTTCCATTTCAACAATGGCAGCCATTTTGAAAACATTTCTTCCCAAAAAAGGAAACACAAGATCAAGAAAATATCTGTGATTTCATGGTTCTAAATATGTTTGACTTGACACCTAAGCTATTAATTTGTTAGAAATATTGGCAAGTTTAGTACAAAACTAATTTTTTCTTGACGACCATCTTGAAAAATTGCTGCCATTTTGAATTTTTCAGCAAAGCGAACCCCTGTGATCCTCAGTGCCTGTTCGGCTCTGCTGTCCGCAGGTGAAACATTCTTGCTGGAATATTTTCTGCTCCTCTCCTTGCAGACACCTTCGCCAGCAAAGTGGCCGCCATCCAGGACCAGCACGCCGACGCGTCTGTGGGCAACGTCACCGGCAGCAACGCCGTCAACGTCTTCCTGGGGATCGGCGTGGCGTGGTCGGTGGCCGCCATCTACTGGGCCATCAAGGGGAAGCAGTTCAAGGTGGACCCGGGTTCGCTGGCCTTCTCCGTCACTCTCTTCACCATCTTCGCGTTCATCTGCATGGCAGTGCTGCTGTTCCGGCGCCGGCCCTCCATCGGCGGCGAGCTGGGCGGCCCCAGGGCGTCGCGCCTGCTCACCACCATGCTCTTCCTCGGCCTCTGGCTGCTCTACATCTTCTTCTCCAGCCTGGAGGCCTACTGCCACATCAAGGGCTTCTAGCTTCAGGAGAGAGGAGGCCGGTCTAACGCGACTCGACGACAGACACGTGTTCATATGTAAACAGATCATTGGAGGAGAAACTGAGCAGGTTTTAAAGGGAGCTGGGCTGTGACGTCACGCCCCGGCGGGTTCACTGCTGGTCTAAAACATGAAACATATTCCCTCCAGTCTGCAGCGACGGTTTTTACACCGAGGAGGTGGAGGAAAAGAGTCAAATGTTTACAAAACGCTAAAATCACACGTGTTTACTACAGCAGGTTCTCCATGTGCGCTGTAAATAGACCGGACGCTGAAAACGTTTCAGAGGAGGAAAAATAGTCCCAAAATGTGATTAATTAGCTGCAAAATGAGTTTAGACGTGTCTCTTTAGCGCCTAGTCTCTGTCGGAGGACGGTTTGCATGCACAAAACACAACCAACCTGTTAAAAGGGAAATACCCAGAATCCACCTGTGATTCTGAGCCGTCTGCTCAGTTAGCATGCATGCTAACAGACTCGCCCACTGCTGCAGCAGTAGAATGGCACAACAGTATTAGTTTACAGAAAATCTGTCGTTTAGAAACTCATTCCAGCCATCAACATGTTCACGTTGATGCTCGCATAGCAAAGATGCCTTAAGGGAAAAAAACACGTAAATGTGGTATTCAGGCTTCTAGCTGTACAAACCGCGCCAGCCGTCTCTAACATAGTGTTAAACTTTAGTTCTGTGCAATATTTAAAGCTGGTTCTGCTATAATGTAACACTGGATCCAGTAGAAATGACATTTGGAGAAAAAGAAGCAGGAAGTACCAGATGAAGTGTTATTATTGTTGTTCAGTATTTTAACTCTGAAGCTACTGAAACTACCGGCTGCTAAACAGACTGCAAGGAACAAAACCCTGAAAAAAAACCTCCTCAGATTAAAATAAAACTCTGACATTCCAGGGTTTTTATCTTCCAGGTTGAGGGAGATGCTGATAAACAGCGGGAGTCATGATGAGGTCAGGATTGTTTCAGTAGCAGCTTGAATCAATGAGAAATCAGTAAAAATCCTTTTTTATTTTGTAGCTCTTACATAAACCCTAAAATTGCTCAACACGTCAGCACTGTTATGATACAACAGATTTGAATCGTTTACTCAAAATAACACTTTGTAAACTTTCTAAAAGTGATTTTGTATCTTTTCCTTGCAGGTGAAGCCAAGGTAGATTTTTTTTATATTTCCAGGCGACGTTCAGATTAGCATGAAGAGCAGATGACGTCATTCGACATGTTAGTGGATTAGGTTTTAATTTGTCTTTCACGCTCCTGGGCCGATCCAGCGGTGAAAAATATCAAAACATCGCAACATTTAACAATCTGCTGCCCTATATGGAAGGCTGAAACTGTCAAAATCAGGAAAAAATTAATTTGATAAATGCAAATAATTCATAAATGGAAAATATGTCAAAATGTTGAAAGTAGTAGCGGGACTGGATAAAAAATTTTAATTGAGTTAATTACAGGATCTGTAACTAATTAATCATGTTTTAATCTAAAACTATATTTTTGCTAAATTATTGAATAAAATGACATATATGACCAAAATAAAATACTTTTTGTGTTTAAAAGAAAAATTAGATTAACTGAGTTAAAATCATTAAAGTATTAAACTCAATTTATTAATTAATCAAAATAACAATTTAAACTCACGGCTGTAATATAAATTGACTCATTCTATAAATTAGAATATTATTTATTTTTTATTCAGCACTATTTTATATTTCTCTATTTTTATATTTATATATTTATTTTATATTTATCACATTATTTTACTTGTTTCTGTTTTAATGTAAAGCTCTTTGGCTCCAACGGTGTTTTCAAAATTTGCTATAGAAATGAAATTGTTTGATTATGAAACACATTATGTGGGTTAATTAAACATAGATGGATGTTTGAAAGTATTTATTTCTGTTGTGATGATTTTCTACTTACAGCTAATAAAAACATGACATTTAAAATTAGAATATTACATCATGCTTAATACAGAACTGTGGGCTTAATGAAAAGTATGTTTAATACCAGCCTAAATGTTATTTTCAAAAGGTTGTTTTAATCTGACAAAATATACACTAGGATATTTTGCAATATTTTAGTGAATATTCTAATACATACATATGTATACTTAATACTTTAACATCAGGATTGGAAATCCAGTGGTTTAAGTCAAAATCATCCTCCCATTTTACCTTTTTGATTAATTAAATTGTGCGTTTTAAAAGTTTCTGTTTCTATATCATGATATTGGTGAGGCTCTCTTAGAAATAGTAAAAAATAATATTTCTTTTGTCTAAAAGAAGAAAAAAGAGGAAAAATGTAAACAAACAAGACACTTCAGGATTTAATTCACCTTCCATAGAATATTGGTTATTTACCGATCCGGTTATAAATTTTTGCAGATTTTTTCTTGATTTTGGCCGGTTCGGTCTTCCATCGCCGTCTTTCTGTTGATGTAGACCTATTCTGATGAGATGATTTATTTATTTTCTTAGAGATGAGCTGCGCCGCAGAGTGAACAGAGTGCGGCCATTTTGTGCAATACACTCCATGTTGTCCGTTCACGCCTCCTGCCGCAGTGTTTACCGTCTCTGTACATTTCTACACCCAGTCCCTGTGAAGGAGGCTCTGTATGTGTAAGTAGCATGTTTACATGACGGGACCGACAGTCTGGCTGCAGGAGAACTGAGCAGCACCGGTAGGAACCGGCTGGAACTGGTTGGAACAGTCGGAACAGATGGAATGAACTGGTTGGAACAGCTTGGAACTGGCCGGAACCAAACCGGAGTCGGTTTGAACCGGTTGGAACTGGCCAGAATCAGTTGGAACCAGTCAGAACCAATTGGAGCTTGTTGGAACTAGTCCTAACTGACTGGAACCGGTTGGAACTGGCCAGAACCAGCTGGAACCGGTCAAAACCAGTTGTAGTTGGTCAGAACCAGTAACAACTGGTTGGAACTGGTCAAAATCGGTTTGAACCAACTGGAGCTTGTTGGAACCGGTCGGAACCGGCGCTCCAGACACGACCCAGCAGCCAGAACCAGAACTGCTCGGTGTTTCCGTGAACTTCTGTACTAACTGTCGGCCATTTGGGTCTTTGCTGTTCCTTAGATAGATGTGGTCACCACCACCTCGCCCCTCCCCCACTGTGTTCTATGTTTCCGTGTTCCTCTGGACATGCATGATGAATCCGTGTGTTTGTGTGTTAGCAGCATGGTCTACCCTGAAGGAGACGTTTTATTTTTCTAAGTCAGGCTCCTACATTTGCACAGAAACACTGTTTCCTCCGTTCGGTTCATCCCCCAGTTTGTGAAATCTCCGTGTCCGTGTTTGTGTCCCCCCTCCCCCACCCATTGCTCCTGCCCAGGTCTTGCTCTCCAGCGTCTCTCTGTGAACTCGTTTTATGTGATGATTAAAAAAGATTTGTCTCTGCCTGAATCTTTGTAGGGAAACTGTACGACGGCAAAT